TTCTATTTATTGTTTTCTCCTAGTATTTATGCACTGAAACAGGATACAATGTTGTGCAGTCACGCTCCCTATGTAACTGACTACTAAAGGCTGGCGTATACAGGTGTTTCTACCTATTTCGCTGGTGAATTAATTTCAATAGGTAATCAATAACACTCGTAATTGATAATTATCCCTAATTTTTGTGGTTTACTTTATTATCAAATACCATCAATTAGGCATGCAATGCAAAAATGCCGCCTGCACTTTTTTTACTTTACTCTCAGTCATTACAACGCTACAAGGCTGGCATCACATTATTACACGGTCTGCGGCAACACGCCAGAACTGTCGGTGATAAGACTCTACTAGCCGATTGTATGCGACTCTTACATGATCGAATCAATGCATTACGGACGACAGCTGCCAAGGCGCATCGTGAGGGTTGTTTCGCTCATTCTGGTGGATTTGCCGACGCCAGTTCGAGCCCTGCGTCGGAACGTTCAGGTACTCCGTTGCAACGGGCTACTGCACTGGATCAAAGTTACGGGGATTCTCCATCTGGAGTAGATTGTACTCTGGCGGAGGCTTCCCCCTTAGCCTCCTCCCCGATCCGCTGATACCATCGGTTCGTTCCACATACATCCATACACGTGCATTATTAAATATCCATACATTCTATGGTCGAGGGTTGTTTGAGCTTCCTTTACCGTTGCCATCATTTGTGATCCATTGACGGACTCTGTCACGAGCGTCAGTCACTTTCACATGGGCGCCCGGTCAATGTGATGTATTCATTTATGTTCGCTACTTGTGCTCTGCTTCCCTGCGCTCAGCTGCATCTAGCTTATTGGATTCACACACCCTCTGCTCGCGTTCGCTGACACTCACAGTACGACTAACCTCTGTTGCCGGTTCAGTCTCCTCGCAATTCTGCGAACACATTCTTCCGTTTTCCCTGTACAAATTTATTCTCATCCGTGTGATTTTCATCTTCATCATCATTGCTCTCTTAGTTTGGTTCATATTGTGATTCTTTATGCAATTGCTTTCGTTCAAATTGCCGGCCTGTTTATGTCGGACGCCTTGGGTACTATTCACAACTATGCAGCTCGAACTCGTTCACACCGTCGTCAACGGTGAGCGCTTGAGAGAGAGAGAGACCAACAGACAAAAAGAAAAATGTCTATCATCCCGTCGAGTTTGGTTCGCTTTGATCGTCTTCACCTACCCTGCCGATTTACCTCGCGACCAACACAGAGGGTATGATAATCCGTTACTCTTTTTAGTTACCATTATGTTAGGCTGTTGCTGATATAATCATTGACAAAATATTGAAAATTGGTTCTTGTAGCTCGGGTAAACTGGATTCCATTGCGTCTGTTCGCCGAGCTTGGCAATTTGTTTGCAAACGTTTCATCACCAGCCGAGGTGACATCATCAGTGCTTGTGAAGTGAACGTATTCGTGTGCAGCCAGGGCCCTGACCGATCGCGTGTGTACGCTCATTGAAGTAGTTCTCCAATTTTCGCCCAAACCGTTCTCCGTTTGAAAAGTGTCCGCACTTTGACTATTCCGTTATACGAATAATGCCCATTCAGATAGGTCCACGATGTAGTCCTTAACATTCCAACACGTTATTTTTTCCGTATAGGCGCGAATGTTTGTGTGCAACTCTTAGTTGTTAAGTACATCGAATCTATCGATCGCGGGACCCGAGCTCAGACGGTCAGGGCTAATCTGTTACCCGTTGACCGAACGCTTGACACTGACTATTTTTAATCCTGTGTGGCATGATCACAATCGTTTTATTACTGGTGGATTTCAGTATGTATGGTCAAGCTTTGATGTTGTGACTCGAAGCGGATGTTATGCGAAACACTCTTGTTGTGTTATCACTTCAGCTGCCTGATTCGGGCACTTCACCCCGAGACTGCATGTGGAAAGTTTTTCTGCCATGACTGACTGATCGTTCGGGTCAAATTACAATGTTTCCTCTAAGTATCAAATCCTTTGGGTCAGGTGTTCGGCCCATCAGGTCAGTTGTCCCTTAAACTCAGTATACGTATGTCCCCTAAACTATCCCGTCACGTCTGATCCAACACTATTCTGGCAAGGGTGATTAGGTTTTATTTCTTGGTTTTTAATGTCTTTAACTTCAGGAAACTATCAGTAGTACAACAATCAACTTGCAACGTCTGTTTCTTGTTGCATTCAAACCCCAATTTCAACTCTCTAGTCGTGTATATTATTTTAAGGCCTCTCTAGCTTATAATCTAGAGGTTGAAGTAAGTAATTTTATATCAAAGATATCTAATGCCTATTTGTTCTCCAGTCTGATTCAGTACACTGAAAATTCTCTCGTGATATACTTTCATCTGGTTTCGAGCATTATGAAAAACAGAGACTGTTCGATGGAGGGTTTTGAAGGATTTTACGGGTAAACCATTATAATTGTTTTTTCACTCAGATTATTAACCAGCTAGGAGATTCTAACTGATTAAGTTATATCGTTCATTCATCGGTGAAATTATTCGTTGGACCAAGGGCATTTTAATGAACTAGGCCGGTTGGAAAACTGCATTGCAAACCTCGCGAAAAGAGGCATACAAACCGGATTGATTTAATTGATTTGCGATCCTTNGATCCTTGCACATTGCCTGTGGAACACTTTTCGATTGTAGGCTCCCAAGAAAGTCAAGCACTTTATTTCAAGCCCTCGAAGTACGAATCTTTATGTCATGATTTTTCAGTAGTATATGAAAAAAGGTGTGATACGATAATCGTTGCGTGATTTCTATGGAGCCTCGCTNATTAACCTTACTAGCCAATATAGGACACACAATCTAGGAAAATACTTCCTCTAAGTCATAGTATTTTTTATAGCTTAATTCACATGCAGGATTTCAAGTCTTTTGAACCTCAATCCAGGATGACTGATTACGAAGCAGATGCTTTTTTCACCACATTATGCTCGATTGCGGGAAGGAGTGCCGTTCGAGGAAAGCAAAACGTTTGGTTATTCCTCAAACGTGAAATTTGCTATCTGTATAAAATTGAATTCAACGGAAGTATATAACCTTATTATTTTTCCCTTGCTTGTATAGAAACTGGTTCTATGATGGATTACAAATAAGTCTGATTAGTTGCCGGTTCATGGGATGTTGTGAACTGTGTTCCTTGAGGCTTCCATCCCGAAATTGGGGGCCGAGGTGGGATTCTTAAAAAGCAAACGTTCCTCAGGAAGGTAGGTGCAAATACCGCTGAAACATTATCGGTTTTTTTAAATTCAGTGTTACATGAATGAGTGGTGGTGGTCGAATGGTAAGGTCTGCGAAATAACTACCTGGTGGTCCTGAGTTCGAACCCCACCGTTCATCTTCCCATCTGTATTTCCCCAGATCGCCTTTGTCTGGCCGGAACGTTCACTGATGCTCGATAAACAAAAAAGGTTTATTAAAAATAATATTTGTTTATAGACGGGAGCGTGGTAGATTGGTAGCGAAGGACGCTGGTGTGGATTGAAGAAAAGTGGATGTGGTTGGAATCTCAAGCATAATATCGTGGGATATCGAATGGGATACACCGTTTTGGAGGTCTTTTTTAAATGAAAGTTGTATGTAAACTTGCACCCATTTATCTATATCCTTTTTAAAGAAAAACGACATATTGATAGGCGTCGTAGTTACCAAATGCCAAAAGTCCTTGAACTCTGATAGTAAAGATCATGTAAAACCCTGGAGTAATAAAAAATGCGCAACCACAAGCTATCTCTGGAAAAAATAGGTACATTTTGTTTGAAACCACTGCCAGACGCAAATGACCTATGCGTATCAAGAACCATTCTCGTGGATAGTGCAATTCTTTTGAAAGGTGTCTTGCTCCCTGACCCTTTCGATACCAGGCGAATTGGCAGCGTCTGTGAAGCATCAACTGGAGCTTACAGAGTTTATCGTCTTATCGCCATTTTATGACGCGGAATTTCAGACAGAAGACAAAATTCAAACGGGTGATCAGTGACGTGGGACGAAAGGAAATGGTCTGATGACTAAACTTTCGAGAGCAAAACAATCAGCACCATAGCGGAACACCACATCCCGTTCACCGAGTCGTAGACACTCACCACTAATTCACTAACATTCTTGTTCTTACTCTAAATCGGTATTTACATGATTCGTCCACGCAGTCATGTACTGTGTCATTGACAAGACAATGCCGGGACGACGAGAGTAATTTGTTCCGAGTAGCGGCAAGGGGCAACAGGTAAATTAGCATACGTATAAAATATACCTCATTTGGAATAAGCTTTCAGAATTCCCACAAGAATGTAGTTCAATTAATGGAACGGTCCAACGCTACAACCACAGTTACAAAGTAAATCCTTTAATCCACTAGTGAAACACGGGAATCCGATATCCGCTTCTTGTTGCGTGCAAACTACTCACAAGCGTGAGTATCACCATACAACATCATCTTTACTGCTCTTGACATGTATATTACCAACCCATGATGTCAATGTGTTAAAGGTACTATTGTAAGAATTAAAATTGATGATCAACCAGGAAGACCGTTTTATTCAGAATCCATTGCTTCTCAAAAGAAGCAATTAGAAACCACTTACAGCCGATTTGAATGTGGAGGAGTGCAAAAGATCTCACTTGGGTGGGTGCATTGATTGATGGATATTCTGTATGAAGTTGGTGGATTTGGCCCAAGATATATAGTAATCACCAGTTGTTGTTTCAATATGTAAAAAAGATAACTCGGAATACCCTAAGTTTTCGTCTTGTAGAAGAGAATTTTTCCGCTACTGAAACCGTAAATGGCAGAAACCTTGAAAAAATTGGGTCACTTGGTTATGCCATTCTGTTTGGTTCATAGCGGCGTCCATTAGAATGATGGGTAATGAGAAGCTTGTGCTTCCAGACGTCGTTTTGTCACATTTAGGCAGTGTCGTTACAAAGCACATTCATGGATTGGGGGCATCCATTGCATAACGTGTTTTCCAACTAATCACAGGGCACGTTTCGTACTATCGCTTGCACATTACAAGTCAACCACCCAATCATTCAGCGTCAACAAAATTTGTTGTGTCTCGTTGGTCATCACTCTGTGCTTCCTAGTAGTAATCAGCGGATCGTGATACGCGTGGGCGTTGCTTTTTTGACTTGGATGTGCTGCCCCGCCATATTCAGTGTGAACATATAGTTTGTTTCTTTTCATTGATTTGTCAGAAATCAATGTGTTAATCCACCCACATAAAATTCCCGTGATTTTTATCAAACCTGTAACCAGTTCAATACCGTATGACCGGTCACGGTCACTTTTCTGCTTCAAGAGTGTGGCTTCATTTACTGTAAACTTGATCTGTCATTGGGTGTGTTGAATTTCGTAGATTGGGTAAAATAGAAAGTTAATGGAACCTAAAGTTTGCATTTTCACGAATTCACTCGATGGTGTGCTACTGGTGGTTACCTGACGGTTGATTTTCTAGCTCGATTTTTGCAATGAACAATATTCTATCGTTCGTATATTGGTTTAATCGATTGACTAAAGTGCTTCGCAAGCACTGGTGACTTCACATCGGCTGGTGATAAAACGTTTGCAAACAAATTATCATG